CCTTCCTGCGTCTTCTCCAAATAAATTGTCCACTCCAAAATTTTGCACAATCTCCCTGGAAAGAATTCAACCTAAGACTATTGAATATCCATATGTCAGTGTCCAAGAAGGAGATTGATATACTATTCTGAAAACCAGGCAAAATGTCAGGGATGGAGATACAGTTGGGAGGCGTTAGTCTTTTTCACAAACCTATTCAAAAGTCCATTGCACAAGAACTAGATATGTGTAGCTTTCTACACAGACTTATTCTCATCGTTGTCTGCCTCATGTCATCTCTTCCACATGAATACAATGATGTTCATCAATGAATGCTCTGAACTTTCGGCAAAGGCCACAGTAGAATTTCTAGATAGTAGTACATTGAGAAGTGATGATAATTGATTGGAAGCCAAGGGATCTTGGGGACTTGTCTTGAATTTGCATTTACATAGAAAGCACATCATTTTTATTTTTGATATGTTTATTTGTGGTGGGTTTGGAAAACCTTGTAGTGGTTATGGAGGGACACCCCAGCCCATCCTTTGGTGTTGCCATTGCTTTTTAATTATGATTTGTGCTAAGCCACACATTCTCATTTACCTAGCTCAGAGTTCTAAGCATGTTTTTCATGATGGTTTGATTATGAAAGTGAGTAGCAATGAATGAGCTCCTCAATAAATACATAGCAGAGACACTGACTGTACTCACTTCCTAATCAATTGTTCAACTGAATGTGAGAAGTCATTTTCTCTCCTGTTTTGAGTCAGCATATCACATAAAGCACAACTCTTCCTGCATACATTGTACCATATTCCACAGTAATTTATTTTTTTGCGAGAAGTATCTAAAATTTGGTTTTTCCTGCTGAGCAGTTATCCAGATAATTGCAAATCAGTGGAATCATTTATATGAATAAAGATTTTTATTCTAATTAACATGCTAAATCAAGCCCACCAAATGTCTCTAATTCTCATATTACTCAAATGGTAATATTTTTGTCAGTGACTATCATATGAAATTTCAGGTGCCTAATGCATTTTCAAATGGCACTCATAAGCATACTAACGTTTTATAAATAAATGTCTCCATATTTTTAAGATGAATGGACAATTTTTGATTTTTAATATAGTCCCCAATTTTCAATTTTTCAATTTTCTTTTACCATTTGGAAAAACAGCATTCATCAGAGCAAAAGAGCAAGTTTCACAAGTCATGGGAACAAACATAGATGCTAATTTCCTATTTTAGGAAGTTCTTTTTAAAGCATTATCATTAAGAAGCACAACTCTGTGGAATATTTATGCGCACATTTAATAATAGAGAATTCGGATGTCAAGTCTGTGTGTTACTCATACCCATACATGCATCCTCAAAAAGCCTTGGAAGTTAATCCTCAGCTGATGAAAGCTAAGCAATTGCTCTGGAAGGATACTTGAAGCTCTTGGCTCTTGGGGTGAAGGTACAGTCACGAAAACCTCTCTTCACAAGAGGGCGCTGTGCAAACATCTAGCTCCTCATAAAGGAAAATATCCTTGCAGACTGGCACGAAGTGGGTTTCTTTACCTGTGTTAAGAGCTCTGCTCTTCATAAAGGAAAATTTCCTTGCAAACTGGCACGAAGTGGATTTCTTTACATCTATTAAGAGCTCTGCTTCTTTCTCTCTCTTGCTTTTTCCTCGCCATACCTCTTCTTAGGCTCTGTAAGGCAGACTTCTTGTCTTCTCTAGTTGTGCTTCTGCAAACTGCATCATGCTGCTTCTATTAATGATTTGATTTTAAGTAATACCATCATAGGTGTTAAATGATATGTATGCCTATCTGGCTTCTCAAGACTTCTCTCTCTGACCACTTAACATCTCACCAATGTGTAAAATATCTGTGAGACATGTTTAATTTAATATGATTCAAAAGTCTTACTCTTGACCTTTGTTTGAAGTCTAATAAACTAAAAACCTAAAATTCCTGGTGGGAAAAAAAGAAACTTGACTACTCCAGTTTTTTAATAACATGTATTTCATTTATTCTGATTATAAAAGTCATCTTTTTTTATGTAGAAAATATAAACATTATGGAAAATAAAATTTTAAAATGTCTATCATTCTATTACCCAGAAATAACTTGATCAACATTTTGGTGCATGTTTTAATTAATAGATTTTAAATGAGAAATGCTTTTCAGGAGTAATTAGATTCTACTTAGTATTGACAATTTTATAATATGCTTTTAAACAAAGTATTAACATTAACTTTTTTGGAAAATGCTACTTTCTGCTATTTGTAGCTGTATTAGCTATTTTCTCTGAACTTCTGCTTTAATGAGTTTATATTAGAGTTGCAAATACACATTCTTTGAATGTACTTGAGAAGTCAATAGTCTGAATCTGAGATTTCCCACAGCTCTTGGAGCACCTGAGAGCACACTAGCTTCTTGCACGACTCTCTGCAGTACTTGCTCCTTCCTGATAGGATGCCTTTGCAAGCGTACAACTCCAAACACGGGCTGAGTGTTCAGTAGTCATTTGTGTTGAGTTCTTCAGTTTCATGGAGACTAAAATTAGGTTTTCTCTGTCACTCTTGTGATGTCGTCTGACCTTGACCTGCATTTCAAATTGCTGAGAAGTTAGCAAGCTGACTTTTACACTAACCACATCAGAAATAATTGAGTAAAAATAGAGTTATCGAGGTTGAGATTTTTTCGTTTATTAGAAAAGTACGATGTCTTGTTCATAACAAGGCCGAATGTTTATATAATGTTCATTTAAAATATATCAAAAGGAAACAAAATAATAAAACCCACAGAAAACCCAAAAACATCTTGCTTACTAAAACATCTCTTGATTTATAAATATCATAGTTTAGTTTGTACAATATCAGTAACTGTGGAAAGTTCCCAATCATCTCATTCCCAAGTGCTTGACTGACTTATAACTTACCAACAATTTTCTTATTTCAGAGAATTCCAAAAACATATTACCTAGGACTAAACTGGAATAAAACTTCATGGTTGATAGCTTTTATCACTTAAATGGGTATTGATTTGGATAACTCATAATCTTGAGTGTATCTTTAGATTTACTTTTTATCCTGAATTTATTTTTGTTAGTAAGATTTAGAAATTCCAATTTATTTTGTGCTTTATATGACATAGAAAAAAACACATTGTCTTTCCTGTACAAAGTCCACTCTTCAAAATAGACTCCAGAAGAAAACATAGAGGCTTATAACTTAGGTTCAACATAGGCACAATCCTAAATATTATTCAGATGAGTCTCTTCTAAATAATTGCTCACCTAATATGATAATCACCTGTTAAGAAGCAGTCTCTTAAATGTCACTGTTGGAATCTAAACAATAGATACACAGGTGTTCACTGTAAACTTGTTTCAATTTTTCTGTATTTTTGAAAATGTTCATAATACCATCTTGGGGGGGAAAAACTCTTTTTGACATGGCAAGTAAGTATCCTAAATATTTACTCTGAAACAGGTCTTATATGCTCTATCAAGTTTATATTTTACACATCCCTAATTCAGCTCATTCTGGACTATTCCAGGACTGATTGCCCTACTAAGGCATGCTTATTTTTTTCTTTATGTGTATAAGAAGGATTCAAAGGGACCATTTGTCAGTTTTAATGTTGTGAGCAGTACTGATATGTTTTATTGAGAAAAAGCTTACTACCACAGGTTACAGAGATATTTTTTCTGAGGTAAGATTCTTTCTGGTTTGCAGGCTTTTGTAAGGAGGCACCAGGACCCATCTCTGTACCCCTGGTCATGAAGCCCTTATTTAGACCCACACTGGGCTGAAATAGGAACTTCCGTACAAATGTATCTCTCCTGTGCTCTTTCCACTCTAACAGAAGGGTAAGAATTGACTGGTTGAAGCCAAATATTTCCCCCAGGCCAGTGTTACAAACTAGCATTTCACCAAAAATATCTCACTGGATTTGTTTTTAATGTTGATGATCTGAAAAATCATCTTCTTGGGTTGTTTGTTTGTTTGTTTTTTAGAGATAAGGTCTCACTCTGTCAGCCAGGCTGGAGTGCTGGAGTTCAGTGGCACAATCACAACTCGCTACAGCCTCGATTTCCCAGGTTCAGGTGTTCCTCCCACCCCAGCTTCCCAAGTAGCTAGGACCCCAGGCATGCACCACCATGCCTGGCTAACTTGTCTCTTTTTTGTAGAGATGGGATCTAGCCATGTTTCCCAGGCTGGTCTCCAACTCCTGGGCTCAAGATACCTGTCCGCCTTCGCTTCCCAAAGTGCTGGGATTACAGGCATGAGCTTCATACCTGATCACCTTCTTCTTAATTATATACATTTTTTTCTTAAATGTATATAATTAAAATGTTATTTTTTATTTCTATAAATACTTTCTATTCCTTCTTTTCTTGTTGCCCTGATACTTTAAATAAATGTAAGCCCAGTCAAATTTTTTATTACCCTTGAGTTTCAGTTTTTGGTTCATTCAGCTCTAAGTTCTCTTTGGGCATGAATCGTGTTCACCATTGACTACTAGCAGGCAGCTGGCATAGCCTGGGGGCACGTAGGAGATGCTAAACATGCATTTGTGGGTAGAAGGAAGGAGGGAAGGAAGGGAAGGAAGGAGGGAGGGAGGGAAGGAAGGGAGGGAGGGAGGAAGGAAGGAAAGGAAGGAAGGAAGGAAGGAAGGAGGGAGGGAGGGAGGGAGGAGGGAGGGAGGGAGGGAGGGAAGGAAGGAAAGGAAGGAAGGAAGGAAAGAAGGAAGGAGGGAGGGAAAGAAGGGAAGGGAAGGAAGGAAGGAAGGAAAGAAGGAAGGAGGGAGGGAAGGAAGGAAGGAAGGAGGGAGGGAAAGAAGGGAAGGGAAGGAAGGAAGGAGGGAAGGAAGGAAGAAGGGAAGGAGGGAGGGAAAGAGGGGAAGGGAAGGAAGGAAGGAGGGAGGGAAGGAAGGGAAGGGAAGGAAGGAAGGAAGGAGGGAAGGAGGGAGGGAAGGAAGGGAAGGGAAGGAAGGAAGGAAGGAAGGAGGGAAGGAGCGAGGGAAGGAAGGGAAGAGAAGGGAAGGGAGGAAGGAAGGAAGGTGAGCGATAGGGAGGAAGTAAAGAAGGAAGGGAGGCTGGTTGGTTTGATTAGCTGTTGAACAAAATTCCATGTAGAAAGTAGCTTCCTAGTCTATATCTTTTAGCTGTGTTTATTTCGAAGCATTGTGTGTTTTTGTTAGGGTCACTTATAGAATATTTAGAAGAATAATTGCTGCCTCATGCATTTCACCATCCAGTGCCTGGTGAGACTTAAAAACCCATAGTTATAATTTTGTTTCTTTGACCAAAGTTTGTTTTATTTTCAAATATAAGTTCAATCCCTTAAGACTCATCTATAGCATATATATCAAACAAAAACAAGTCAAATTTAACTCAGAATTTTGCTATAAATGATTTTACTGAATATCATCTGACCAATGAAATAACAATTATGTGTTCTGAAATGACTTCGACATTTTTAAGGTGGTAAGTTTAACAACAACAACAAAAAATCTCTGATATAAAAATGGCTTATTCTCTATAATTTAGAGGTAAGCTAAAGTTTTCACCAAGAGTCCATTATTTATCACTTTCCAAACTTGGAAAAGTCACTTAACTCCACTGAACCAGTAGAAATAAAATTAGTGGTAACGTTGAAAGCAAAAACCAGAACCAGTCCTATTGCCTTGTTAATAATGGCCTAATTGTGTAAATGACTGTTACAAATTTCTTACCTGGTCCTGAGAGATAGCTAGTATGTGGCACCCTAAGTTTTATATATTCTGTTACAAAACAAAAACAACAACAATAAGCTGTTTTCTTTTGCCGTTACTCAAACATCCGGATTTCTATTGTAGCCCCTAGAACATTGTTACCTTTGGTTGGATGGACTGAAAAGTGTTGTGATTTTTCTCCTATGTAGAATATTCAGAGGAAAAGTGCAGGGCAGTGCACAATGCATACAAACACTGACAGGATCACTTTTCCTTAAGCCGAACTATACTCTAGGCCTTCTCTCTCTCTAGTTACCACAGTTGAACCCACTCAGCCCCTACTTACAGCCTCAGTCCCACCCCAGGCTCACAGGCCAGTTTTGTCCCTAAAATTAGGAATTGAAAGATCTAGGGTAAGCCAGCCACAATGGAGACAAGATTTAGAGATAAGCAAAAGTGACTTGGACTCACATGTCTGTCATATATTACCTCTGTGGTTTTAGCCAAGTTCCTTAACCTCTCTGAGTCTCAGATTTCTCATCTATAAAGTGATGATAATAATGTCTGCTCGTGAGTTGGAAGATTAAGTGACATTATGTAGATCTTATACCTGACACCAATTGCTTTTCCTGTGAAAGTTCAAAACTTCCCTTATGATTTAATTCTTCAAGGAAGGGGACCTGACATTTTCCATTCCTGTATTTACTTATATTCTAGGCATGTATTGGTTAACCTATAGGTTTTGCAATTAAGAGGGACCTCAATTTTGACCTCAGATCTGCTACTCATTGGCTGTATGATCATAGGGGCAAGTTACTTCAACTTCGTAAGCCTTCATTTCCTCAGTGGTGATACAGAATAAAAATAACATAAAGCACATAGATAAATTATTATGAGGATAATGTAATATATATTATAGCCTAAAATTCTGTGCAGAGTCTTCAGAATGCTTTCATGTAAGTTACCCTATTCAGTCCTCTCAAAAGCCCTTTGCAATGGCTGTCTCTCAAATGAGAACCAAATGGATAAGACATTATAACTCAGCAAGGTCAATAAACACCACAGAATAAACACCAAATAAGTGGATGATATCATCATAGTAAAATGAGGAATTAGAAAAGTTACCCTGACATTATGGTGATGTTTGGTTCACAAACTCATTCAGTGCACAGCAAGTGTCCAAGTAAGGAAGGGGTCTGAGGATGACAGGTACTCAGGAATGGGAAAGTTTATGACTGTTGGCTCCAACAAATGGATAACCAGATTTAACAAGATATTGAACAGTCATAGAAAAAAATCCACAGCACCAAAATTTAGCACGTGAGATTTTTATTTAGGGATTCTTGGTATTGGGGGTCTTTTTTTTTTTTTCTCTCAAGGGAGTGATTTTGTTTCTCGGCCTAGCAATTTCATCATTGCTTTTGCTTATTTGTAAGCATAATTCAAAAAAGTCAGAAGAAACCATTTCTTTCCTTATTTGGTGCGTGGTCAACAATAAGGGTAGCATGAGTTGGAGTCAGTGTTGCAAATGGTTTCCCAATTAAACAACCTGTCTCTAGGATCCCATAAGTTTTCAAAAAACAAATAGAAATATTTCTGTATTTAGGAGAAGCTTAAGGTTTTAAACAATCGAGAAATTCCATCACCTAGTTTTAGTAAAATTTCTTGCCACCTAATTTTTTTAGATCTTGTAAACAAAGTTCATAAAGTGTTTTAATGCTGCAAATAAAACATTAACATTTCTTCATATGATTAACCTTCAAAATATAACAGCTAATATTTTATTCTTACACACATGGGATATAAAGATTTCAAATAGAGAAAAGTGTTATCTATCAAAACTGAAGACTGATATTGTTTTTGACACTGATAAAATGGTATGCCTACTTACCATGCTCATGAAGTAACCAATTGGCAATTTTTAGAACTTAAAAATGTTTCTAACAGTATAAAAATAGTTTTCCTACCTCTCCCAAAAGCTTACAAACATCAGTCGCATGTGCCTAAAATTTTGTGCAGTTTTCAGAATGTTTTTATATAAATTACTTTATTCAGCCCTCTCAAAAACTTTGCAGTGGCTCTCAAATGAGAACCAAATGGGTAAGACACTGAAACTCAGCAAGGTCAGGCAACGATTTTCAAGGTCACATGGCAAGTTCGTGGCATAACTGTAACTCTAATCTCTAATCCCCTATGCAAGTGCTGCCCTGAAAATTTGCCCAATGGTGTTTTAATTAAAAAGTTAATCAATTGATCAAATAGGAAAAAGAAACTAAATAAGCCCTACCTGAATTACCTGTTGTGAATTTTCTGCCCCTATTTAGGCACATATAAGAATATAATGTAAGTGGTCCATCTTGTTTTTAAGATGCCCTGAAAATATTGGTTTGTCAATTTATTAAACCAACATAATTGTGGTGTTTATGTCTCTAGACTATTTGCTAAGCACTGAGCACCCAGATGAAAAGCAGACGTAATCCATGCTCTTATAGTGTTTAGGTCTATGAGGGGAGCCAGACACTGAATAAGTCTTTACTAATGTGATGACACTGACAAAGAGGAAGTGCAGAGTGCAGTGGAGACATCACCTGGTGTGAGGAGGCAGGGAAGACTTCCGGAGGAAGTGAATTTCAAGATGTAATCCTATATCCACCACTCTTTCACTCACCAGTCAATAGCTAAGTAGAATTTTTATTTAAGACTGCATTCATGAATAGAATATTAAATAGAAAGAATTTTTATGACCTTTAAAATTTTCATATGCAGAGAATTGAACAAGACAATTAGTGACACCAGAAGACTTTAATACATTTGTTAGAAAATTGTGTTAAATTCTTTATTTCAAGTGATTAGTCTACATTGATTTCAAGATTTTTAAAGAATTTGAGTCTAGAAATATTTTTTGAATAGTTAGAAAAATATCTTAGGAGCTTGTCAGTCATTTAGTAGATACTCAATAAACATAAAATTTATTTTCTTTTCCTTCTATTTCTTCCTCCGTGATTTCTTTCCTTCAACCCCATTTATCCAAGTATTCAGAAGGAGCTTTGTTAGTTTAGTGAATAGAAAAGCTTGATTTAGTTATTTTCCAAATTGCTAAAAAAATTCCTAAACATAATGTAGATGGAAACCTTAAGTGTCTAGTAAAACATTTTGATTCACAATCCGTAGTTGTATTGATTTTTTATCCTTATATTTAAGCATGCCTCTTATTGATTGTTTTAGTCTATATCCTGATTTTAGCTCTTTAATTATAATTTGTGTCTGTTTGTGTCCTGGGTCATATATGAGTAATGAATGCAATTGTAGACACTTAAAGCACAGAGCATGCTTTCCCAGTGTTCTTCAGACCATGAGGTTCCTTCAATTCTGTTAATGTTTTACTGTTGCCAAATCTTAAAATAATTGTCTCCCATTTCAGAACATGGATTAATTGATTTTTCAATCAAGTAGACTCATATAAGGTTCAGAATGAATATTTGAAAGCAATTCAAAGAAAATTCTAGTATTATTTTGCAACACTTCATTTGGAGAAATAACTTACAGTTGATTATGCTAAGTAATGTAATAAAAAACGTTTTTTACATTTACTTGTACTGAATGGACATTAGTTTTAAGGAGTACACAAGTCGCGTTGTCAAACTGCCTTTTGTCACACTCTTTTGCAATCTATCACTCTGAAGATAAAATTACGACGACACCCTCATCAGAAGTAGATGGTAAATAACAGTCTGTTATTTGCTTCCACGTTAACTTCTGCTGGCTTTGAGTCTGTAACCAGAGACTATTTCAAAATACAGCACTATCCTGAAACCCACTATCTGCCTGCTCTGGTTTCCTGAAGCAATGTCTTTCAATGTAACGCAACCCCACTGATATAACTGTTTATTTCTCTGAAGTTCAGTTCAACCCTCTTCCCTCCGTATGCCTGTTAACTAGAGACTTGATGTGCAAGTAATTGAATGCCTGTGTGGATTATGTTTAAATTATCCCACTCTCAAATTTGAGAGTTTCATTTTTATTCATAGTAGCTATCTCCTATAAAGGAAATTCTGAGTTTCTGTGTCAGACACCGAAACCCAAATTTGCCATTTGTAACATCTGGAATCTTGGAACCAAAATCCCAGAAATATTCAAGAGACAAAAGAGATGCCTTATTTAGAGCTCTGCAGAACATAAGAGCTAAGTTATTGGCAAGAGATGGGCACTTTGCTGATACTTTAGGGGGGTTAGGACTTACGTGGATAACAATTGGATGGGAGCAATGTTTAGATTGCCGAATCCGGTTTCCCTGGGACATATAAAATTAGTTTGCACAACTTGTAAACAATAAATTATCCCAGGGATGGAACATCTCTCCTTGCTCTTCAATCGTGCTTTTACTAAAATTCATCTGGAAAAATAAACACTTAATAAATGACAGTAATTAGAATGTTCAAAAGATGTCTTCTTTGTTCTTTTCTACTCTTTGATACCCATGAAGTAAAAATTATAAACAGCTTATTGTAATATAAATGCTAGTAAAGATTCATCCTAGAAAATCATTGTATTTAATTTCTTATTTTTTCCAAATGTCTAAATTCTCATGTCTGTGAAATATTAGCCAGTTCTTAAAAACAATATTGATACTTATATTTGAAATCAAGGCTTAATTTTGCTCACAATTAATCTCAGAAATAAGTAGCTTATTTCTATGACCTTACTGAGGCCTGGTAACCTAAGCGGGATTATGTGTAACTGTGTGGAAGAAATGAAAAGGAGGCGGTAAGTAATTATTTAAGAAAAAGTAACATTAATGTTGGCAGACACTTCTTGTGTCTGTAACTGATTTCACACTGGGAAAATGAAGCAGAGTTTCGATTTTCCTGTTCATAATTTCGCATTTACAGTTCCATTGTTTTTATCTTGCTTAACTGTTCTAGATGTCTGCCTTTACGAAGCAGGGGGGAAAGAAGGAAATGTTTTTGACAGTAATGAAAACAACAAAATTGGTTCTCTTTCCTTGTACATTTTTAGAAAAAGTTGAACATTCCCTAGCAGATTCATTCTAGATTATTCTTATGTCCTTATAGTTTATCAATTAGATATCCATTAATTGAATATCCTTTAAAAAATGTAAATTGGTAAGCAAAGGCAGTTAATTATTTGTGAAAATGTGTGCTGCTGGCTGTAGCCTGAATAGAAAGATGACGTTTTTCTTGCTATCAGTAAAATTGGGATAACAATGAAAATATTTTTCTGCTTCCAAAGTCATGTACATAGACTGTAGCTTTTATTAGAAATCAGTGACACTGTTTCACCTACAAAATTTTAAACACCACCGGACAAAATGAGAGCTTTGTGTTGCCTGGAGGGTGAAAAAAGTCCATCTTTGCCAGCAACATCCCTTCCAGTCTTCGGCTTGTCTTCGTGGCCTCCCTCCCCCTCCCTTTCAAGCCACCCCACCCCACCAGCTCTTTACACAGATTCCTCCCCTCTTCACACAGATCGTCAGTTATCTTACACTGTCTGGCTTTAGTCTCAGATGAAGACATTCTACTAAGCACCAAGTCGTTCAGCTCAGTGCTAACTCTGCCAGGAATGTGTGCATTTCCTAAGAGCTGCCCAAAATGGAAATTAAATAGTTTGAAAGAATTAAATGATAATGGTAGCATTTCAGGCACCAGAAGGGCAGATTGGCATCAGTATAAGCACCTTTTCAGTCCTTCTTTGAGAACACCAGGAAAGTGGCTACGTGTTTTGCCCATGCGAAATTTGGATCGCTATACAAAAGCAAAAAGACAGTTTGTGAAGTATTACAGTATTGCAAGTTGATTCAGAGAGAATGTGTTGTGTTTATTTTTGAACTCTGTGCTCCTCCAAGGTTGCTGCTGTTCAGGGCAGTTCTCACTCACCCACTTTCTTTGAGTTCATGTGTCTGATAAAGAAGAGGTGAAACTGTAAAAATGTTTCCTATTACTCATCTCCAAAGCTGATATGAAACCTGTAGCATTCTTAAGAACCCCTGGTGTGCTGGATGCTGTTGTGAAAATAAGCATAATGTTTAATGTCTTGAGCTTTTACTGAAATTATATGAATATGCAAGACTCCCTTGGTGTACAAGAGACAGATAGAGCTTTAGAGGACTCAAAATTTGCAGATATGGTGATGTTCACTGAGCTCAACTATTGGTCAATTTTGTCCAGTTCAGAGAGGGTTAAATTCACTCTTGGACACTTGAAGCCTCTCTAATCTTATCCTGGAGAAGTGGCGCTCTCCCTTGGTTTACAGTTGAGGTTACCCGCGGGGCAGTGTTTGGACACGGACTGATGAAATTATGCTGCATTGTTAACATTGAATACCACTCAGTGGTGAGGACCGATGACGGCACTAGGGTCCTTTGACTCCATGGGTACAATATCTTGAAATAGATGCTTTCCCAAAATGTCCTGGACTCATAAAACATGTGAAGGATTCTATTTGGCTTTCATCATTTATTTAATTTGAAAGAAAGTTGTTTTAACGGATTTATCAGAGTTAAGAAATGTTTCTAGGGAATAGAAAATGGACAAGATAATTGATCTTTGTTGTCAAAGTCATGCATTGTAATTCACTCTCTAAGGTGACGCAGCAACTCCTTGAGGGAAAAGCTGCCAAAAGCTCTGAAAGTGATCTGCCTGTTTTTCTCACACTGACTTGTAGAGAGGCACTGGTATTTTCAAGATGACTAAATCCTGTTTACATCCTGTGGAAGGTTGACTAAGAATTATATCCATCTCTTTTTAAGAGAAGTTGAAATAAGGAAAATTATAGTTGGCAGTTAGCTGTGTGAAATTTAGTAATCTTTTTCAGATGACCCAGTCATAGGCATGTATTTACTTTTTAAAAAGTTTTAATAAAGCCCTCTGGGTTTACAGTTTTTAAAGTTCACACTGATACAAAGGTTTACCCACTTCAATTACACCTTTCATTGTGTGTGTATGCATGTGTGCATGCGTGTGTGTGTGTGTTGTGCTTTTCAGGAGTGGCATGTGACTATGCTGTTTAATCAGGGCTATATTTAAAAACAAATTTTCTAGGGAGTGTTTCTCACATTAATTATGAGATAAGGCCCGAGTGAAGCAAGCTCTGTTGCAAAGGCCAAGTGTCATGCAGCAGGAAGTCCTGGCCATCCCTTCCAGCCCTGCCTCAGCCAGCCTGCCACCTCTCTGTCAGCGCATACTACTGCACAAAGGAAATGCCCTCACTCAGCTACAAGTGCCTCCTGCTCCTGCTCCCTGCGGGGCCTCAGGGCCCCAGGGCCCGGCACCAGCTCTGACTTCTCGTGGTTCCTGTGGATCTTGGCATCGTCCTTACAAATGGCTTTTGTTTGGGATCCTCTGGGAGCCACAGTGCCAGGACCGTCTACAGGAGCCAAATCAAGATTGCGTTTCTCAAAGTCCTACAGGTATTGCTCTTTTCCTTTTGTAGCTAGGAAGAACTGCTTAACTGCCTTAGGCCCCTTGCAAATAAGCCTTTGCCCTATGTTGACCTTCTAACTCCTAATGCTGGTTAATTTGACAATATATGAAATAAGAGCCAAGAAGATGATGCAGAAGTTGAAGAAAGTTGACTAACTTTAAAAGCTAATTCTGAGAGTTAAATGGCAAACTTAACAAAGCATTCATATTACTGCCACCTGAAAAACAGTGTATTAACTTGTCTAATGGCTTAATATAGTCAACCTAAATGTTAGGGAAGGGTTCTTGTTTGACTAACCAACAACAAGAACACTACAGTATTCTTTATAAGTGTTTCAGGGCACATCCACATGAAAAAATTGAAACTAATGCTGTTTCAGGTAGTAATTCAGTGTTAATCTTGCCCAGCAGAATTAGATGCCATGAAGTCAAACTAAATATTTTAATAATCTTTTGTTTCTGGAAATAATATTAAAAATCTTGACCTCATGACTTCACTAAACTGTCAATGACTGTTTTACAAGAAAATCAGCTTATTTTAACCAAATAACTGGAAAAAAAGAAGACACTTTAAAAAATCTTGGATTTCCTTCTCATTTGAGTATTCTAGGTATTAATAAAGATAAGATTGATTATTCTTTATTATTGTTTATAAATAAAAGCTTTTTTTGTTTTTTATTGATTAAAATTTATAGCACTGAAAGGTATCTATTTAATCAATAGTAAATAGAAGTGACATTGTTTGCAAAATTTTGGATATAAGGTCTTTCTTATTTAGACCACATGTAGCACATCTGGAAGCTGCCAGGCCTATGTAGAAATGTACATTAACACAGGATTAAAATGTGTTCTGATTTTCCTGCATGGAAAACATTCAAAATTTGAATTAAAATGATTTATAAGGATTATTTGCTTTAGACAGTAAAGAAGACAATGTCCTTGGAACTTTTAGGGAACTATAAAATCAGAGAAATCAAATTAAAAAATTTGTTATAACAATGCAAAAGCAAACTTTGGCAAGAGATAAATATAATTTTTATTTGAAAAGAAATTAACGATTTATTACGTTAGTTTGTAAAAGCTATAAAATTTGGTTGAAAATTTGAAATTATATGCCTACTATGTGCTTTGCATTCTGTCGAATGTGATTCTCATGTTTATTATATGCTAAATTGTACATTCAGAACCTAACATCAATTATTTGCTAACTTTACTGTGCATATTTCCAATATATGGTGGCTTCTAGGCTCTCTTCATCACTGAGATCTGATCACAAGCTCCTTAATATCATAAATCTCCAACTGCTGAATAAAGTAAAAGCAGTAGCTTGATGGACTAAAGAATTTGAGAAATCTCACGAAATGCAAAGTTTAAGCTCTACTCTCAGTTTGGCAAAGATATTTTTATCTGAGGTGTTATGGTATGATAAAAATTTAAAGCTATATGATAAATATATTTTTTCAAGGTTCCTTTGGTCAAGTTCTGGCCCTTTCCAAAATATAAGCATTAGCAGCTAAGGATAACTTTTTCATGTATTTGAATACCTCACATCTGTAATTTTAACAAACTTAATTTGTAACAAGTTTAACAGGTAAGGATGACATCTCTAATATCCATCATGAGCCCATTTCCTTTGGAAGCTTCAGAGACAGTCCTTCCTTTATTTCCTCTTAATTTGAATATACAATTTCCCACATAATAATTAATTTTTTATATGTGCTGTTTTCACTGTTTGGAGGTTCTAGTTTATCTTTCCAGTTGCACTGCAAACTCTTTGAGGTTTGAAGCTTCTTTATATACAACAAGAATGCCAGTAATGTTTATTTGATAAAGTATCCTGTTACCCTTTCTTATTTGGCATCACCCCATAATGCTTTATTGGCATAACCAACTTGATATGATCATATCTATCATAAGTTGAATTGGGTGGAAGGGTTAGGGAGGTAGGAAGGCAGTTGGCCACTGGCTCTCGCATTTCTGCAGGTCCCTTAGTCATCCAAAGGAGATTATGCATTCAGCCACAACAATCTACTGACAATAATGCAAAAAGGTACTTATTATATAACTTAAAATTTTTATCATACCGTAATACCTCAGATGCACCATGAGTCACTATATATATATACAGACACATATACACACCACACACAGGCACATGCACGCACAGTTAAATGCTATAATTATCTTCTGAAGAACATAGTTTTATTGCATAGCATTCTTGGAATTAAAGGTGTTAAACTATTTGATGTAAACATGTAAAATATCTCATAATGTCACAGCCTTGTTTTTGCATTTCTTAATTTAAAAAAAATATACAAAATCCTTAAATGGCGAAAGTAACTTAAGCTTATCTTGACCTTTAAGATGCTTTGGATATGATTCCATTATTGAAGCAACTGAAAGAACTGGACATTAGACAACATTTCTTCACTGAATTTCTCCCATATTTTTTATGAGCAATATTTTATATCTTGTAAAATCTTCAAATGTGCCTATTGTAGTGTCATTTTTCTTTGACTATCAAATGGATAATAATGCATGATACTGGGGGTACACTTAGCTTTAAGCTGGAATATTTTTATTTGGCATGGCTTTCGCTCCCTGGTAACATTCAGGCTAATGGAAAGCCAAGTCTGTAAGATATGAAATTCAATTAGTGTCTGATTTGTTAAAGTAATAGCAAATCATATACATTTAATGAGTGTTGACTCTTGAGAAATACAATCTTAAACAGTTTACAATGCTCAAAATAGATTTGAAAGTTTTTCAGCTGTGACAGTTTTTTGTCTTATGTGGTTGAAATAGATTTTTATAAAAAAACAAAAATGATTAATATATAGCTTATTAAGTTTGGTTTGAGGCAGAAAGAGGGATTGAAAGAGAAAAGAAGAGGGAGAGGGAAGGAAAGGCAGGAGAGGGGAGTGGAGCAGGGCCGTGGGGAGAGGAGTGAGGAACAGAAAAAGAGAGAAAGCAGAGGATTACATAATAAGGAAGCTACTTTTTCTCTGTGAACCCAGAAGAGAGTGCCAACCGTGTTTTCAGTAATGGGATCAGTGTTAGCATTAGGGCACTGCTTACAAAGATGAGTACTATTTTTGAGGGCAAGGTGCTGATTTATCTGCCTAGGTTCTGGCACATGTGTTTAAAGATTCACCTAATTACGTTAGAGCAATGCGCCCCCAAGTATTATAGAGAAGAAAGAGGAGAGTGATGTGCTCATGTTAAATTTGAGAAAACAATGTGGATAAGTTTATATTGGTTGTTTAAATATAGTACCTAAAAAAAGATGGGGAAAAACTATCTGGGAAGTAAGGAAAGAATCAAGGAGCAAACATTTAGCAAGCGTGTGGACCCTGACAACTCCAATAAGAGAACACTAGGGAATTTTGTATTTTAAAATACATTGTTGTTTAAAACTACAGTAGTGTTCAAGGAAACTTTAAATAGAAAATTACTCTTCTTGAGATGATTCTGTCTTCCAAAGAGAACAAATCACAAAACATTTCCTGCTTTCTGTCTTCTTAAAAAGGGATGTTAAAAGGAACATTTTATGTGATGAGTATAGGGTAGGTACTACGTAAATAGAAGAAAAAGTCACTCAGAGTACATTTGAATGTAGGGCAGAGATTATTCCATAGCATTCCACAGACCAGAAACAGAAAGTGTCTTCTAGTTTTCTTGCCCTTTATAGTAATAGGGGTCAGGGGATAGAAATTCTCAGAAAATCTCCAAATCTCATTTTTGCCAATTGTTTCAACATCTTTTCCTTCCCAGCATTTTAGGAGAGCTACCAAACAGGTGATTAATTAAGTATGTATGTGCATGCTTATACTTGATGTAGAAGGTCTAATGAGTAAATTTGTTTGATATGACATAGACTGAACAGTAGAAGGAAGGAGGAATGACAATCACATCAATAAACAAAAGTACAAATGATATCTGGGCTATGAAAAGATAAAGCAATATTTGCCCAAATAAGAAGATCTAGATATCCCTAAATTATCCCCTGTATTCTTAGGAAGTAAAGATCAATCTGCAACTTTGATCTGGAAATTATATAGTAGCAGATATGAGCAGGGATCATAGGAGAGTGTGGTCTCATAGCTACTCTTGGCCACTTCCAAAACCTAAGTGGTAGCACATCAGTGATTGCCCAACCAAACTGCACAATTCCCATGAGAAAAAGCTGTCTGGAACCCACATCTTAGAAAGGGAGTGAGCACCACCTGAATCAATACACTAGGACGTAGTGTCTGCATACCCCAAGAATACCTCCTGTTGCATAGCACTTTTTAGTTTTCAAAGCTTTTCAGATGTAACAGATTTGACAACTGTTGTTTTTAGTGTGCCACAGCTCATCTCACTTAATGCTTTAGGGTAAGTGAAAAGGATGGATGTAATTATTATGAAATAGGAGAAGAACAACTGGAGGTTCAGGGACTAGAGACCACACACACATGTGGTTAGAAAGTCCAAAGTAGGCCCGCGGGACCGGGTGCGATGGCGGCGGGTGCGATGGCGGCGGTGGCTGCACGGCAGCTGGGGCTGCGGGCGGCGGGGCTGGGACGGGCCCCTGCCAGCGCCGCTTGGAGGAGCGTCCTCGGGGTCTCCCCGCGCCCAGATGTGGCAGTTCTGCAGCAGAAGCATCTGCCACAAAAGCGGAAGATGACTCCATTCTTCAGTGGGTCCTGCTCCTCATCCCTGTGACTGCCTTTGGCTTGGGGACATGGCAGGTCCAACGTCGGAAGTGGAAGCTGAACCTGATTGCAGAGTTGGAGTCTAGAGTTCTGGCTGAGCCTGTCCCTCTACCAGCAGACCCAATGGAACTGAAAAATATGGAGTATAGGCCAGTGAAAGTCAAGGGGTGCTTTGACCACTCCAAGTTGCTGTATATGATGCCCCGGACCTTGGTGGACCCTGCCTGGGAGGCCTGGGAGGCTGGCCGCATCTCCTCCTCAACTCAGAGTGGGGCCTATGTGGTCACTCCCTTCCACTGCACCGACCTGGGAGGGCACAGTCCCTGGAGGACCCATTGGAGGGCAAACCAGAGTTACTCTGAGGAACGAGCATCTGCAGTACATCGTCACCTGGTGTGGACTCTCTGCAGCTACATCATACCTGTGGTTTAAGAAATTCCTACGTGGGACACCTGGTGTGTAACAGATCAGCTGCTAAAGCCCTGTCCCTGAATAATGAAGTAAAAAGACTGCCTTTATGCTGGATCATGTGGTATAAAGTTCTGGCCTTCTACCTTAAAAAAGAAAGTCCAAAGTAAGAGCAATAGAGCTAGTCTGTATTGGACACTTACTATGCACCAGGAAGCATTCCCAATCCCATACATGCATTAGCTCATGCATGTCATCCTCCAAAACAGCCTTGGGAAGTGGATCTAGCATTACCTTTATCTTACAAATGAGGAAACCAGGCAGAGCAAGTTTAAGAAACCTGCACAGGTATGAATTCTGGAAGTCTGTGTTAGAACCGGGACTGCTGGTCACTCTCCCACCTCCAGCTTCCTGACCAGATCCTGTTAGCACACAAGGAAAAAATTCCGTAATGACAGGTATTATTCTAACAGATGTACTGTCTTCTCTACTTAGCTCTGAATCTTTCTCTGAAGACAGAACACCATGTGATTTGTTATAGAATAGGGCTTAGTAATCAGTTAAAATATAAACTTATTAAATAATATCTAAACTGTCCTCTAACCTAATTGATGTTGGTTTAAAAGAATGCTAAGCAAAAGCATCAAAATAAAAATATTTTTATATTAAAAAAAAGAAAAAGGAAAATGAATCAGTGATTTTATATTGTCTGCTTCTGCCCCCTCCTGGGTTTTGCTTCATGGGCTTCCATCTGGCTCATTTCATCTGGCCAAAAACATTGGTCATGTGGTTGTATTTTACTGCCAAAATATTACTCCTTGGCCAGCTGTTCAGAGGAGCCAGAAGATTCTCTGAGCTAGAGAGGTCAACTTCATCCTGTGTCATGTCTATTTATTCTACTGGCATAGTCTTGACTATTAAACTAGGCTTCTTAATGATATTTCAAATTGTGAGTAATGTTGGCTAAATTGACAATGAAAAAATAATTAGTGTATAGGCAACATTTATACCTAAGAATAACAATACTGCTAACAACCATTGCATATTGTTGGAAGAGGTAGCATGGTGTAGGAGAACTTTGGCTCTACAGCCAAACAGACCAAGCTCCAGTGCCAACTCTGCTTCTTTCTTGATTGGGCAGTTTTTCCTAACGTCTCTGAGCCATTTCCATGTACATAAATAGAAAATAAAAATATCTACTTCATAAGGCCGTTGTGCAGATTAGATGAAAGCAGGTACATGAGTGTAGGACTACCTACCACCCCTTTCATAGCATTTTCCAAGTCTTCACTAACATTTCACAAATTGTGTGAAGCTTCTTTTGTGAAATACATTTTCAGATAAACTGTCATCATTGGTACCTCTGTTGGTCACAGAATAGTACAATAGAGCTGCCTTATAAATGGTTACCTTATAAGCAACTTGCACATACAACCCAGACTCACCTTAGAAAGGTAGTGTGCAGGAATGATTGACAGTTGGCTAGCTCTACAGTCACACTGCTGCTGAGGTTCACATTTTCACATTATCGCATGTAGCTATGAGACTTTGGGCAAGTTACTTCATGTGCCTCAGTTCCCTTATTTGTAAAATGGGGTGTTATGAGGATTAGGTGTGTTAGCCATGTAAAGTGCCTGGCACATAGACAACACTAAAATAAATTTCAGCTATTATTAATAATAGAATGTAAGCTCCACATGGCAGCAATTTTTTTGTCCTTTTTTCCACCTTTGTATAGCCAATGCCTGGAAGAGTATCTGGTACATAGTAGGTGCTTGGCGTATATGTATTAAATGAATGAACCTATTAGCAAATATGTTCCAATTCATGGCAAGTGTAAGGACACTGTGCTTCCTTTTGCCACATTCGTGGGAACAGGGGGTTAGAGATGAAGGAACCTGATGGTTCATTTGTTCAAACTCATTTGTCTTACGTTGAAGAGCTTGAAGATCCTGAAAGGCCCCAGGGTCATGCAGCTTGATAGTGGCCTGGCCAGAGCTAGAACCCTAGCTCTGTGTGCTTCTGTGAAAATCTTTGTTCCATTGTCCCACCCCCTGACTTCAGTACATATGCCATCTAATTCAATGCCTTCAGTAAGGCAGCAAAAAGAATGAATGATTTGGAGCACACTTCTTGCAGACAGGAGAGAGTATAAGAGTCATAATTGGGCAATGACCATGGAAGGACAGGTTTCTGAATAATAGACTTATCCAAGTAAAATTATGCTCAGACATTTTACTTACAAGTCTAAAAATCACTTGCTACGACAGCTACAATAGGATTCTTGTAGGGAAGTACCACTTTGTAAACATTTTTGTAGAATGCGTTATATGCATTTTTTTTCAAAATTGAAGGAAAGCCCTATCTCTAACATTCAAAAGAATCTGTTCAATTATCAATGTAGACTAGAAACAGGTAGAGACGGGAAATACAGTTTGAGTGTTTTCTGTCTTATCATGACAGCGCGTGGAACAACCACAGGCAGAAAGATTACAAACTTCGCAATAAATATAAAGGTATTGATTTTATAAGGTAGCCTGCAGGCTATGGACCAGCACAGAGCTCTGTCAAATGTGCTGCCAGGAGATGTACAAAAAAATCAAGGTGACTAAAGAAGAAGAGACACTCCCCACTGCCAAGGGTTTAGAATCATGCTGTGGGTATTTCTGATCATCAGTGTGAGAATGGTTTTCACTGTTGTTAAAACCATACCATTTCTGAATGTGTAATAGGTATGAGTGTTTATGCTTAAATAGTGGTTTGTAAAATTTATACTGTTTATTTTCATAATGTTGATTTTATGATTTTCAACGAGTGCATTTTTGTCTTTAAGTCATGAAGTGGTTGAGCCCCCATCAAGTGATTTTAAGAGACAGTACCTTGACTGAGCAGCTGAATCAAGGCCTGTCTGATCTGGGCAGAGCAAATAAGGAATACTTCTCATGAAAGAGGAAGCATTCAATTCCATACACTCTACCTTGGTACTCCTTGTTCTGGAGCCCTCAGTATCTATCATGTTCTTTGCCACAGTCATATACCCACCTTCTATCTTGGCTCTCCCTCCTCCTAACTTCCATTACTTTTTCTACCTTTGAACTATAATTGACAAGCCTTTTTGCCTTTGACAAGGGGCTGAAGAGAGGTGTCTGATTTTCCATAAGGCTGGGTTATATAAGTACACAGAGTTGAATCAGAGCAAAAGAAAATTCCATTGGCAAAGGAAGAGTACTATATGGTACTTTAAAACTTGTCCGATTGTATCATTTTATTTATTTATTTTAGAGGCAGGATCTCGCTCTGTCATCTAGGCTGGAGTATGGTGGCATCATTATCACTCATTGCAGCCTCAAACTCCTAGGCTCAAGGGATTCTCCAGTCACAGACTCCTGGGTAGCTAGGACTACAGGCGCACCCTACCATTCCTGGCTTAAAAACACATTTTTTTTAGGGTCTGTTTTGCCCAGGTTTGTCTCAAACTCTTGGCCTCAAGTTATCCTCCCACCTCAGCCTCCTAAAGTGCTGGGATTACAGGCATGAGCCATGTTACACGGCTCAAATTATATAATTCATTAGCTGGTAATAGTGTAAATTTGGAAGAAAAAAACTAAAATGATAAAGAGGAAAGATGGATTTGTGAATAGAGTAAATATATATTACTGTAATTATGTTAAGCCAATCAAATGCAAAAGACAGTTCAAAGATAACAAGTATGTAAGTCACATTCCAAAAAGAAAAGAAAAGAAAAAGAAAGCTTTGAGGTGAAACTTTGAAAAGATAAGTTTTGTGGTGAGCTAAAGAAATAAACTCTATAAAAACAAAACCCTAAAATTATTATAACAATGAATTAAACATTCAAATATGAACAGAACAGAATGTAAAAGATCATTCAGGCAGTAAATGTTCACAACCAGCTCTCCATGGGGGAGGGGGGAGGGCACTATTTGTAGTAATTGCTTATTTCTGTGCAAAAAAATTCTCTCACCCGCCCATTTCAAACTGCAGAGGTCACTAAATGTGGAGTTGGCAAGAGATACATAGTACTATATATGGTGTTTCTATCATATAGATACAATAGACATAAATTGCCCCCAAAACGTAATAATAGTAAAATGTAACCAAATCATTCAGAGGTTATGAGTTTTGAATACTTATTTCCATTGTTTTTAATGTAATTTAATTATAATTAACAACTTTTATGTAATTTATTTTTTAATAACTGTTGGGTGTTAACTGACTTATAAATACTCCTAAAAATGTAACAGGATGTAGTGAGGGACAAAATGGATGTGGTCTCTGCTTTCATCAAGTTTACATTCTGGTAGAGGAAGAGAGAAAATTAGTTAACAATAAATAAAATAAATAGAGACTGAGATGAGAAGTTCTGCTTGGGGAAGCCAGGGAAGCCTTTTTAAAGAAATTGATAATTTATTTGCATATAAGTTCAAACATATCCGTTCCATACATCTGTGAGTACATTTGTAGTTCTAGCCATGAAACTCAGAATTGCACGTCAATGGAACCATATAAATATTGACCTCATTACTGACTTGTTTTCAGTCTCTCGTCTCTTGAGTGAATTTGCCTTTGCTTCTCTGTTATTATAAAAATACAATGAGGGAAAGTAAAACAAGGAGGAAGATGAAAAGATGTAGGGGAAGGAGGAGCAGTTTACAATATACTTTCTATTACATTGTTTCACACTATCTCAAAAATTTTTATACATAGAAAATACTAAAGCAAAGAAAATTGGAAGTTAAAAATCAATAGCAGTAGTAATAGCCCTATAGTAGGAACCTTGTTTTGTTTGAAATATCTGTCTGTGACTGCCTACAAAACATACCATCATAAGCTAAGAGTAATTACGAGATTACTTTTTTATTTTCAAAGAAATAATACGAATTTTAAATCTTGAATTAAAAAGAAAGCTAGCCGGATGAAACTTTTCCAACACACAAAGTTTTAGGATAGCGCCCATAAATATTATGCTTCTAATGCTTGTCACTTGATCCGTTTTTGGCAATTAACTTGCCTTTAATTGATTTGTGGATTACCCACTGGAAGTTGCTATGGATAAAGGAATGTAGTGGCAGAGTTTATTTATATAGGGTAACAAAATAGACTGGCTGGGAGGAGGGGTTTAACTGCAAAATATCCT